ACGTCGTTCAGACCCCTGGGATTCTTTAGCCAATATCCACGGATGGTACTTGGTTCTAAAAGGTCTCACCTGTTAGGAATGAAGGATGCTCCTTTCTTCACTCCTGTCTCAAGATGGTTCCTTCTCTGTAACTGCTTAGTGAAGGAATTCAGTTGTTTCAGCCTGCTGTTGAGATTTTGAGAGTTAATTTTCTGCATGCGATATGAATGGAAACAGTTTTCTGTTACTGACTCTGTTTCATGACTCAGGAGTTAAATATTATAATGCTGATGCTCACTGTAATTTGGAATTCTAGGCGTAAAACTTATTCTGCCAGGCAAACTGTTTTGGGGTATAAAAATTTCACCAAGTTGTAAGTCTGAATTATTGCACAAAGAATACGTACCATAGAAGAGTGGGGAAAAAAATATAGAAGAGCTGTTTTCCAGCTGTTTTCTTAAGCATGAGAGGTGTGGTTTTGTTAGCGATAACCTGAGGTCATAAACATAGGATCCCAGCTAGTGAAGTAAATATCGTCCATAGACAGAAATGGCCTTTCTGGTCAGAGTGGTGAGTGCTAACGGAACTTCAAGTTTGATTCATCTGTTGTTGTTCTCAAAGATCTTCCTGCTTAACTTCTGAGAATGGGTGGTATCTTTTTAAGGTGTGTATCTTCCTTGCACAACACTAACCTTGTAGGTATGTTGATGCAGAGTTGATATTGTCATGTATAGGTAATAGCTGAAGGATATAAAAAATTGCTGTGCGTAAGGTTCTGAAAATAGTTACCCTTGAGCCAGACAGCAGTTTTATAGGTGGTAAAGGTTTAAGAAAGAAAGGAAAAAGATAAAAAGTATCTCACGTCGTTCAGACCCCTGGGATTCTTTAGCCAATATCCACGGATGGTACTTGGTTCTAAAAGGTCTCACCTGTTAGGAATGAAGGATGCTCCTTTCTTCACTCCTGTCTCAAGATGGTTCCTTCTCTGTAACTGCTTAGTGAAGGAATTCAGTTGTTTCAGCCTGCTGTTGAGATTTTGAGAGTTAATTTTCTGCATGCCATATGAATGGAAACAGTTTTCTGTTACTGACTCTGTTTCATGACTCAGGAGTTAAATATTATAATGCTGATGCTCACTGTAATTTGGAATTCTAGGCGTAAAACTTATTCTGCCAGGCAAACTGTTTTGGGGTATAAAAATTTCACCAAGTTGTAAGTCTGAATTATTGCACAAAGAATACGTACCATAGAAGAGTGGGGAAAAAATATAGAAGAGCTGTTTTCCAGCTGTTTTCTTAAGCATGAGAGGTGTGGTTTTGTTAGCGATAACCTGAGGTCATAAACATAGGATCCCAGCTAGTGAAGTAAATATCGTCCATAGACAGAAATGGCCTTTCTGGTCAGAGTGGTGAGTGCTAACGGAACTTCAAGTTTGATTCATCTGTTGTTGTTCTCAAAGATATTTACAAAGCTCTTGTTTAAAAAGCATTCTCCCTCTTTGTCTCCTTTTGGGACAGCCTTCAGGGAAAAGGAATGTTTTATCTCCCATTTCCTTTCTTCCTCACACAGATATAGAACTGAACTGAAGGCTTTAGTTATGTTTTCTTATCAGTTACAAGAATGCCAGAGAATTGGAAATACTTTCTGCAATGCTGTTTTGCCAGTACCTAAATCGTCGGGAGACTCTGAAGACAATAATAGATAACGGCTGTTGTGTTCCAAGTACAGGCAGATTTGTAACATGTAGTACTTATGGTCCTAATCCTTCTAAGCTTCTATGATCGCTTTCTTCATTTTTTTTCATGTTTTGTGTTCAAAACAAGCTGGATATGCAAGACTTAACGCAAGAATTTCTCAATTCTGAAGAAAGGCTTCTCAGAAAATGTGCATGTGAACTAAAAATAAACTTGCCCAAATGATTGTTAGTGTCAACTACTGAAGTAGGTCACTTTGGAAGAAGTTGGGGAGACTGTACAAATGTATGTAGTGCAGTTACTTTAGTTTAAAAGACCTATGATGTAAAGGAGTGTACCATATCCTTTTCCTAAAGATATGTAAGAACTTGGACTCTGAAATCTCTTTAAAACACCCAATAGCTTCACCACTTTTACTTCCAGTTACTCAGTTTTCTTTTTTCTTTCTCCAGGAGATTAAACAAAAACAGAAAGCACAAGAAGAGCTCAATAACAGACCTCCATCCCTCCCTTTACCAGATGTTGTCCCTGATGGGGAAGCGCACTACGGTCAGAATGGAATACCCCTTCTTAATGGGCACGTACCCTTGGCACCTGCCAATCATCCAGGTCTCCAACAGGCCAATCGTAACCATGGACTTTTAGGCGGAGCTTTGGCGAACTTGTTTGTTATAGTTGGTTTTGCAGCCTTTGCCTACACAGTCAAGTATGTACTGAGAAGCATAGCGCAAGAATGAGAATGACAAAATAAAACCAAGACCAAATTAGAGGTAGTTGCAGAATGAGTGGACCCTTTGGGCATCTGACTCTGACACTGGGATAAATATTTGTTTTACCATGTTGCAAGGTAAAACATTGGTTGGCTCATGGGTTATGTTTGAGAAATGGAGTAGTTTCGCTTAGTCAGAAAACTAAAAGAAGTTCTGCTCGCGGATCCTCTTGTCCTTGCTACTATCTAGTAGTGGCTCACAAGTCAAAGCATTATTGATGAGACACTAACATTTCTAGTGCTTTGATTTTTATAGCAGTTCTCCATCTGTTATTTGAAATTTGAAAATCTTAAGCAAATAAGGCTTTTTACTGCATTGAACAATTTTTAAAATTTCACAATTTATGCATATCGTATTTTATTTTCATTAGGGAAGAGCCTGTACAGGTGTTGAAATGATTCAAGTAGTGATTTCAGGTGGACTTGGTAAGGGTTTGGTTAATGTGAACATTGATGCTACAGAAGATTGCTGGTTTCTTTTTTAAAATAGAATGAACATCATTGCATATCTAGTCAGTAGTGATTAGATGAGTGGGAAAATAACACTGTGTGTGTTAAATGTGTTGTCTAAATTGTCCCAATGTAATTGAAGGTTTTATTTGGGCTACAAGAAGTGCAGTTGTCAGCCTTTAGGAAGAATTAGCAAGAAGAAGCATTTGGATCAGTCTTTAGTGGGGATACCCATATCCAGTATTGTTTTGGATTTGTTCACTTAACAGATTTCCATTTTGGGAGATGTTATATTTGAAAGCTGTAATACTTAATTTTGATCACAAGGTGCCACTGTTGGAAAAAATAATAAAACTGCACACACCAATGGAGAGTTGATTGTGTATTCAGAAAATCTTCTCTGGATTTCTTGGGCTTTGGTAAGTGAGCTAACCCTAGCCCTTGTGAAGGTAGGAGGACAAATGAGTCTGAGTCACAAACCAGCTTCTTCAGAGTCAACTGAATTAATCTGAAGTGTCACTAGCTGAAGTAAACCCTTAAAATTAGTTCCACTTGCTTACTTGAAGATTTGCATAAACTTAAAAAAACCACCACCACCACCAAAGGCCAAAACCCAAGCCCTTCTAATTCATCTGAGACTGTAGAAGCTTTTTGCTTTTAGGTGTAAGTTCATCACTGTTCCCCTTTGGATGACGGATGAGTGAAATAGCGATGTATGTTCATGGGATTACAGAACTATGGATAAACACTACAGCTCCTAGGGTACTTCAAAAGTCTGAAATTACTTTTTTAACTGAGTTTGCTTGGTTTCCCCCCACCCCTGCTTAATTTTATCCAAATGCTTTGTTTCATCAGAGGCAAACTTACTGTGCCTTCCATAAGTGGCAGTGATGCCTAGTCATCTGGGGAAGAACGCACTCACTGTTGATGGTAAACAAATTGTCAAAGGTGATAAGGTAAAAAGCTCTGCATCTAACTGCGTAGTCTTACTTTAAGTATTGTGAAGAGCCCAAATAAATATTACCTCATGTATCTAAGGATTTTTTTGAAACTCTTTTATGTTCCCTTTCAGATTTGTTCTCTCTCTGTGCTTCTCCTTGGTATCTTGAATTGTAAGCAAAAACGTACTGTTAATCCATGAGCCATGCAGCTTAGAGCATCAATAAATGTGACCAATTCTCTGCAATAGGTAGGAATTATCAAAACTAGCAGAACAGCTCTATACTAAAGAAATCTTGAAGCAGTTCTTGCTGAGGTAAGGAAGGGAAGGAGGACATGGGTGCGTGGGGATGGAATTTGTAAAAGGCTGGATTTTAAAATGTATTTATAAATACTTGATTTTTTTTTTTTTTATTTTGTGACTTTACCAAATCTTATAACTATTTTTTAATTTACCTCTTGTATGTGCTTGATCAGCTCTTCTAAAAGAGAAGCACTGGTTGTATCTGTCTAGAAAGAACGATGTTCCGTCAGTCTGGGGGTGTGCTAGAAAGGAAGGGGGAGTGTCATGTCTTTCCTGCAGTGACAGGATTTTTCAAGATGACTTTTCTCAAAGCATATGGACCTGTAGCTGAGGCTGTTCTGCCTCATAGAACTTAGTGTCATTCAAAGATGTTTGTGTTCTCACAACGCCTTTTATTACCATTGACATTGCCTACAGACAGAAGCTTTTAATTGGTTATCTTATGTTTATCTTCTTACCTTATGGAAGTTATTTTGTCTACATAAATGAAAGCAAAGGCAAGGAGACCAACTTGGGGCATGGTGTGTTTGAACCTTTTGTGAAATGTACCTAACCATGGTAAAAGAACTAGTAAAATCCGGAGATGTTGAATAAAAGGCATTTTATTACGTGGCAAGAAGTTGGCCTTAAGCTACACCCAAGTATTACAAGGTGGGTCTCTTGTTTTTAGTAGGGGCCTCAATTGGAAACAAAAAAACCTTTGGTTAAACCCTGGACATGCTGCATTTTTTCTGAGGATTGGTTGTATTTAAAAAACAAAACTTCCAATTGCAGTTCCTTTTCAGTATCCTGGGTTCGGAGAAAGACACGACAGTCATTTCAGGTGCCGTTTGTTGAAAGCTAGGAGCAGTAGCTGACTGAACCCTTGCATCTGTGGCTTACAAGGTTTTGATACATCTCTCTGCTCCTTGCCTTTGGTAACAGAAGATTTCTTCCCTTTTGTGTAGGTTTTCCTGTTTTGTGTTTTTTAAAAGCGTTTATGCAGTATCTGATCTTTTTGTTATCAAAGTCATTAGATGGAGTAAGCCATTCTTTGCCATGCAAAAATATTATCATGCCCTGAAGCAGTGCATTACTTAACGTAATAAAACTAAAAGCTGTCCCTTAGTATATCATATTGGAACAAATGTCTGGCCCTTCACTTTCATGCTGCGATCTCATAGATTTCTGTAAGATTGTTCTACACAAGTGGTAGGGAATTTCTGCAGCTTGAATCAGAAGATATCTCAGTGGTCGCCTTTAAAGAACTCCTGATTTTTAAAGTCCTGGATTTGTGTGTAGCCGTAACTTTTCTCCCCCTAAGATGTCAAGGTCATGGAAGTTACCTTACTTCAAGCATGTGCTGAGGAGTAGAAGTGACTGCATTGTAAAGTTGTTTGTTCATAATAAACATTCATGATAAAATTTGTACTTTCTGTGGGACTGTTTTTGGGAAAGGAGTCACTGGGAAGAAATCTTACTGTATATATATGGGCCAGGAAACAAGAACTGTAGCACACTTGCATCTTTCCCACCTCCAGGTTTATTCGCCCCCTCAAGTTAGTTTGGTCACTTACATCTGTAGTAGAACACCTCCAGGAAGACCTAGAGGTAGTAAATTCTTTTAGATCTTTTGTTTGATGATGCAGTTCCTTTGCAGAGGGGTATTTGTCCTATAATGATGTAAACATCACAGCTGCCACTGTAGTGCAGTACCTGTTTTCAGCACCTGCTCTGAGACACGTAAAGAACCACTTTAAGGGGCTGTTCTGCTGTTCTTGCCAACAGTGATGGGGTCTCTCAAGAAAAAAGTAGATGGGAACCTTGCTGCTAACTTAGCAGTTGCTGTTTGAGTACAGTTTGGCTTCATTCTGCTGCTGTTCCCTTGACACCGGGATAGCTAGTTCTGTGATACCTGGCCAGCGTCAGCTCTGTGCAGTAGTAAATGTTACTGAGAGGCTGTCTTCGCTTTTGACTTCTAGAATTTGATTATGGGCTGGCATTCCAGTTGTGTGTGTGGATCGAAAAGATAGTTGTTTCTAACAGCAATTTCTTCATAGCTTTATGGAAGTGAGGTTTTTTTGCTTGACTGACATCTGCCAGGGCTGAGCTGTGTCCTAATTTGCTCTATAAAATGGTGCATTTTCCTTAATAACGCTGGTATTTCTGCCTTTTATTCAGATCAGTTCTTGTGCCTGGAGTTCTTTTGCACTCCATTGTTTAGACTTTAGTGCTTTTCATTTTGCCAGTTGCCCTGCTTCAGGTTTTTTTTAGTGCTTGTGTTAGCAAGGAGCTAGTCAGGTGAGGGTAGCTGTGTTGCTGCATTTTGAATCCATGTAGTCATACAGGATTCTTGCTGTGAGGACAGGCATTGCTCTGCCCCTACCCCTCACAAATTCTGTAAGGAAAAAAAAAACCCTCCTATTGTGTTTGCACAGGTACTGGGATTTGAAATGGAACATGGGTGTTGATAGCATGGGAAACTCTCCCATACACAGAAGGCCAAAGAAATGAGATGATGCTTGCCCATCTCTTGGATTCTCCAATTTGCCTTAAATGTGTAAGCAGTCAGCAAGTGACAAGCTGCTGTTTCTTCAGAAGAGCAAGCTGATCACTTGTAATTAGAATTATGACCTTAAGCCCTGTGCTTCAAAAGGTAATTTTTGAATGTGTCTGAACAATTTCTGCTAATAATTTCTTGCTATTGGTGGCTTATATTGCAACCCAGTCACAGGAAGACAACTAGTATACAAGTTGATACCTTTTTTTTTGCTGCCCAGCAAAGGTCTTGCTTCTAAAGCAGAAAAATCATGTTTTCAGTGGAAAAATTGCTTACACACAGAAGTGAGGCTATTGAGCATGAACACTCTCGTGTTATTGAAAAGACTTTTCTGGGCAATGCATGAGGATGATTTATTGGGGTTTACCAAGAACCTTTTATTAGCGGTAAAAGCTTTGCCCCAATGATGTTATTTCACGCTTTGATGCCTGCAAGCGAAGCGAGCAAATGTTTCTCTGTTTTGCCCAGCTTTCGGTGTTTCCGTGGGTGTGCCGCGAGATGGCGCAGCGATCCTGCCTGGGTCCTGAGCCGGCGGCTGTGGGGTGGATGCGGGGAAGAGCCGAATGGAGAGGCCCTCCGAAAGGTGGGGTGCGGGCAGCCCCGGGGGGGTGGCCATGAGCTCTTGGTCTGCCTTCCCAAAGCTGTTCTTTTTTGTCTGCTGGTGCGTTTAGGTTTGTTCGAACAGCTTTTGTCTGTTAGCCCAATCAACTGCTTGAGTTTGTGTCGGGTTAATGTCGGGAAATTTTAGCTTTAAACCTAAGGGATCTATGATAGGAGCACTCTAAAGCTTAGCTGGTCTGAAGCAGGGGTGGGTGTGCGTGTCAGTGAACCCGTCACCTTCTGTATTGGCTTAAAAAAAATCACTCCCTCTGCACCAGGGCTTAGGAGTTGCTCGATACACCTACAATGGGCAACTCTGGGGAAAATCCTAGCTTTTGATCTTTTTCCCTTTGGGTATTATTCTTAGCATGGTTAGGTGAGGTCTATCTTGAGTAAAAGGCAAATTGTGTAAGTAGAGACTGAAAGAAGTTTCTTGCATGACTATTCTAGCTTTACGCACACTTCTTACAGTGTCTGCAAATACTGTGTTTGGGTTCTTGCACACAATTTTGAAATGTAAATGTGGCTTCTTGTATCATCTTCCCTACTGCAAAACTTCCCTCATGCAGAATTGGTATCGCTACATTCTTAACTATTCCTGTTATTGCTGAAACGGTGCTGAGCTCAGAGGAGCTCTTTGTCTCTTCAGTCACTTTGAGATCCTTGGTTTGTACTATTAAGTGCAATGTTTGCCTTTTCCTTTTTTTTTTTTTTTTTTGCCAGTGGAGTTTGAATGTTGTTTGTGCATTGGCAGGACTCAGGTGCTTTGGAACCGCTGCAGCTAGGATGAGGGAACAGCAGCAGCCAGGCGTGCAGTTTTCTACAGATAACACAAAAGCTGAATTGAAGGTTGGAGGAGAGGTAACAACTGAGCTGACACTTGTTCCAGCCCAACACAGAGAAAAGGGTACAGTCGGGAGTTAGCTATGCTCAGTTTGTCCTACTGGACCATCATTAACTTCGCCTCGTGGTTGCAAACATAGTTAGGATTCATTTCCCCCCAATCTGAGGAGGATACAGTCTTGGGATTTGGCTCTTGGGATGGGAAAGGAGATGTTGCAGGCAGACAGATGCAGCCTGCACCAGCAGACCAAAAAAGCGATTGCCCCATTCCAGCCTTGGATATCATTTCTTGCCATGGTGTGCGGATCTGTCAAGCTGTTTAGCTGCAATATGACAGATTGTCCTATTAATGTGTCATCAAGTGCACTTTTACAAATTCATGGCTTGTCTACAACTAACCTGAAAAAAGAGGCTTAAGTATGAGAAGGCGCCAAAGAAAGTTAAATATTATTAACAAATAAAGTCTGCCACGTAGTTTTGATGGAATGTGAGCTAGTTGGGGGAGGGGTGACACGCTGTTAACTATTTAGCTTCTGTGCAGCTTCCCTTCTTACTCTCACTTTCTTCTCTTTCCCAAACTCCATTTCTTTCAAAAGATGCTTTGGAGAAAAAAAAAATAACAAACCAACCTGTACTCTACTTCTTGATTTTGTGCTCAGGTTGTTCATGCCTCAGTTTCCGTGAGCTACAGATAGTAGAGCTGTTGCTCCTGATCCACCCTGGCTGCCTTTAAAGTCTGGTGAAGAACAGTGCTGGGATTACTGCTTGGATTACAGAAGGCATGCTAAAGGAATTGCTAGAAGACAGTAAATCTGTTGCTTGCTTCATAAGGGACTTCAAATTATGTGATCTTCAACCTTTTCTCATTCTTGGACTTTCTCATGGTACAATCTCAGATAAATTTTTGCATCGCTCTCTGTATTTGTAGAAAGAGTATTTTTTTCTAGGTGGTGGGGGACTGACTAAGATTTGCAGACTGCCCAAGTACTTCAAGATCTCCCTTGTGAAATGCTTGTAGGAGATGTGTAACCTTTGGTTTGCTGTTATTTTTAATAAACAGCCCACCCTCCTGTAAAGAAGTCAGAAAGCCCCCACTGAGCCAGCCTCTAATGAGAGCTAGGGGAAAATGTTGCGCGGAACACAGCTAACTAGAGTACAGAGCAAGAGTTCTGGTGTATCAATGTGTGGTGCGATGCTGAGTGCATATTCCAAGCCACATATTTTTAGCTCTACCACACGCTCATGTACAGTTTTACAAACTTCCCAGAAAAATGGTGATTTCTCTGAGATAATGAAGGGGAGGTACAGAGTAGGGCTGAGGGGAGGGAGCAGGGAACGGGCATTGATTTAAATCTGCCTGGCACACGGGCCAGCTCCACTTATCAGTGAGTCTAATAGGAATGTGAAGAGAATAGGCTTGACAGCTCATTAGAATGTGATCCCTCCTACTTTTTCTTTTTTTTTTTTTTTCCTCTCTTTCTTGAAGTTGATGGAAACTCATTCAGGAAAGAAGTACTTATTTGCTGAGGTAAAGCAAAAGCTGAGGAGGGTTTTGCCAGTGTGCAGCTGAGGAAAGGAACAGTGAGAAAAATCTGACGTGATCTACACTCAAAGGTACCTGAAACCTTGCCTAGTGTGAGGGAAACGAGGATGAAAAAGACACGAGATTCTACATCCTGACAGCTGCTTGCGGCATCGGGATTTACTGCTCATCGTCTCATTAAAGAAAAGTGAAGATAAACCCAGCTAAAGAGGGAGAGAAGCTAGACTTGGGAAAACTTTATCTGCTCCTAATGGACCTAGGTACATCCTCAGATTCTTTGCTTCTCCCTGTTTTAACTTCTATGATATGAGAAATTTATTTTCTCCTTAGAAGGCTGAGCACTTGGTTGAGCTGTGATGCTTTCAGCCTCTTCAGAAGAGCAGTGGCTATAGCAACTTTGGGTTACAGTTCCCCAGCATCTCGAAAGGAAAGGATGAGGACTTGTCACTGAGGAAAGGGAAGTATCATTCAAGAGAGAATGGATGGGAACATATTCAAGCCTGCTTTGAACTGAACGCAATGCTTCAAATGACAGAAAGTGAAATCTCCTGTTGAAGAGGAACAACCGAACAACCCCCTTAATGAGTTTGTGTTGTCAGCTCTGGCCCGAGCAACTGTTGCCCTGAGCAATTTCACTTCTCTAGGTAACGGCATTTCAGGGGGGTTTGGTGGTGGGGGGGGGGGGGGGGGGGGCAGGCGACACTTCAAGGTGGGTGGCAGGACTTGCCAGGGCCTCTTGTATTTATGTAAGCTTCGAGAGGCTGAATGGACTTACCTCTTCCTTCGAGTGAATCCAGATTTTCAAACAAGTTTATCTATACCATTTCCATGTGTCCTGCTTGAACAGAGATCTCTCCAGCAACCAGCGCATCCGTGCATGCTGCTTATTTGACATTGCATAACCCAGAGGATCATCTTTAATAGTTCTAACCTTTTTACTTTTTATTTTTTTAGAGAGAAGTCTGTGTCTATTCCTGTTATTGGTGGTGAAGGTTTTTGTGCTTGGAGAGTGCCCTTCCTGACTTGGCCCCTCCCTTTTCAAAATGAAGGGGTGCACCTGGGTATTTGTGGCAACTTTACTTTGTCAGCAGTTTTGCCTCTTCAGAGTTACGGCAGCAAAGAGAGAGAGAAAGATGAAGAAAGAACCGAATCAGTATACAGAGCCTTTCAATGCCACCCTCTCAAACAGTGAAGAGCTGCACGGGCATCCCAAGGTAGGTGTTTATGTGTTGTCAGTGCTTAGCAGAACTTATTTCTGGCAGTACTGTGATGCTGGTTCCTTTTTCCAGTGATTGAGGCAACCTTGCCAAATTCTGTTTAATTTTAAAGAGAAATGTTCTCTCTTTTGCCTTTGCATGATTGATTTTGTAGCTTACTGAAACAAACACTGGAATACTGCAATTTATTATTATAATTTATTTTAGAATATGCATGACTGAAGTTCCAGTCCCATAGTAGCTGATTAAATTTAAAGACATTTTGGAGTCTAGTGTATGAACGCTATCCTGTTCAGAAACAACTGATTAAAAAAAGGCTATGGCAATAAAATAGTGATACTGGAATATTAATGTGTCTTTTGCAGGCAAACCCTTTACTCTCTGGAACGTTATTTCAAAACTGTCTTGGGCAACAGTATAAACACCTGAGCTTTCTGTGCACTGCACCTTCTACCAGAGAGGCTGCGGTGATTGAAAATTATCGATGAGAAAAATTTTGGTGTAGTCAAATGATCTGTTTATGGTGATTAGTGTAGGAAAGGATTCAGGATGGTGGTGATTGTGCATAAGTGGTCAGTGTAAGACTGTGTCTGTGATACCTCAGTGGCTGTAGCTGATGACTTGCTAGGCTTAGTGAGTGAATTTTGCAGGGTGCATTCTTCCAGTTACATGTTTGGGAGAATCACCCCAGGCTGAAAGCTGCAAAAAAATTTCTGGTCAATTGATCATAACCCCCAGAATCCTTTAAGATGAAAACTTGTGTAGAATGCTTGGGAGTAGGAGAGGGGGTTAGGGAATTAAAAGCAGGTCCTAGTGTTAGGAGCAGGATGAAATGGAAGGGAGACTGCAACACTGAGAAAGGAGGGAGTCTCCCCTATCTTGCTCACACAAAAATGTCCCTTGTTTCAAATGGAGGTGACCTCTAAAACACGACTTTGATCACAAGCATTAGGGATGGCAGTCACTATAGCAATAGAGGAACAAACCTGTCAAAAATTGGGGCATGGCAGAGGGGGCAAGTTAGAACAATTGGGCTGACATTCTAAATATCCTATTCAATGCTATTGTGAGAGTAATTGGTTAAGGTTGGGCAAGTCTGGGAAACAGTCCCCTATATAAAAAAGCTGGCTGCTGCACTTAAAATTATCATTAGGGGACTGTAGGCAGCGTTTCTTCAGCTAATATTTTGTTGTGTATTGCAAGGCTCTGTCAGGACAGGTTGTATGCATGCTAAATTCTTGAGGTGCTTATAATCAATCACTTTCTTCTACTTTCTCTAGAACTGCTTCATTCTGCTTTTGCAAAAGGGGCCAGATACGTATCAAGTGCAACCAAATTTCAGTCTATTCTGGAATTAATTTGGCTTGATGTGAAATGTATCGGACTGCAAGCAGAATATATTCTGATTGCGAAAGCAAGCAGAAACTGGTCCTGGTTAATTCTGATATAGTCATACATACGTTATTGCTAGAAGAAACACTACTCATGTGGAGGCTAGTGGGCATTCATTAAAACAGACATTGTTTGGAAGCTGCAGTTTGTGTGTTGAAATACTTTGCTTTAAAATATCCATGGCAAAGGTTTGGCTGCAGTAAGAGCTGGCGAGTTCAGTGAAGGCAGGTTCTGTTTAATAAGGATAGGGCGAAACCAAATCTTTGATGTGAACACTTATGAGCTCTGCTTGATATCCACTCCCAAATTTTGCAGTGTGATTTTCTCCTTCGAATCTGTATGAGGTTGAGGTCCAGGCTCTAGTTAAGTATTGCTTCTAAATGTCATGGCTGACTGTATTGTGTTTTATAATTATATAGCACCTGCCCAAGCTAAGGGATTATTTTACACATCCTATAAATGCAGTGCTTAAGAATTGCCACCATTTCTGTGGTAAATGACAGTTGCCATTTACAGCAAAGCATCACAATTTCTTCTTAATGGAAGAAATAAAGTAATAGGAAGCTATGCTTACCTAACCTGTCAAGCTAAAGGAAGGTTGAACACAGTTCTCTATGGAAGACTGATCTCTTTGAGCCTTGAAGGTACATCTGTGAGCAGGTTTGTGAGCAGGCATCATGAAAGGATGCCCTGCACAGGAACGTGAAACAACGCTTCATTTCTCTGCAGCACATAACAGAAGAGATGGAATTTTTTTTTGTCCTTGTGGAGTAAAAGTTGAGGCTGTGTTTACCTTGGAAGACTCTGTGGCCAGCTGGTAGGTTTATCAAAGCAGAAGGAGCAGGGAATGAAATATTAGCTGAGAGCAGTGATTTTTATTCATACTGTTGAAAAGGTAGATGTGTTTTCCTTCTAATTAAGCAAAACAATTGGGGACAAATTTCTCTTGGGAATTCTTTTCAAATAGGAGTGGAGAAAGCTCCCCTTTAACATGCACTTTGCATGAGTCGTGGTGAAACCTTTACCGAAAACAGGGAAGTGGAAGTTTCAAATCTCCTGATAAACCTGGTATTTCCAAGGAGATAGCGTGTTGGGTTTTTTCTGTTTTTTTAAACATTTTTCTCTAGTCTTATCTTTGCTGAGTTGCTGTCAATGTGATGTGCTTGCCAAGCACATGAGAGTTTTCTTCTCTGGCACAGATGGGCCAAGAGAGAGAGCAGAACATGACTGATGGATACAGAGGTTGTAATCTACCGGACCTTCTTACTTTGACTGTGTGTGGCTGAGTACCTGCAGCTGCCACTTGCCAGGCTTGCCTTCCTTTTCCAGGCATTGATCTTGTAGCAGTAGCAGATTGTCCAGTGGTTATATAGGGTTGATGCTGATCAGGAGTTACCATTTGATACCTGAGTAGAGGGAGTAAAGATTGAGTCAGACTCCTAGTGCCCAAGGACAAGAGGCAGCGGGTACACGTTGAAATACAGAAAATTTCACTTAAATAAGAATGTAAGAAAAAAACATAAGGAAAAAAACTTCTTTGCTGTGAGGATGGTCAAACACTGGGAAAGGCTGGACACAGAGGCTGTGGCGTCTCCACCCTTGGAGACAGTCAAAACCCAACTGCACATAGTCCAGAGTAACCTCCTGGAGTTCACCTGTGTAGAGCAGGGCATGTTGAACTAGATAATCTGTGGATGTCCCTTCCAACTTCAGCTGTTCTGTGAGCTGCTTTTAGGGATAGTTCAGCTGAGCAACTCAAAGGCAACATCCTAACCTGGAGAAAATTATTGACTTGGCATCCCAGTGAACTTTCAGATATGATTTGAGGTCAACAGGATTTTACTTTCAGTGGAATTTCTGCAAGAAATAGTGTAATGTTTTTAATTTAGTTACCCACTACAGAGGGGCGTCCTTTCAAGACGTCCTTGAAATTTGATTTCCTTTGTGATCTTCTGTTTCTGTCAAATATCTAGGGCTAGGTCTACCTGGTTTATTACTTAAATCTCTCTGAATTATTTCTTTGGGGCTTTTTTGCTTCCAGTTGAAGACAGCACTGGTTCAATGGCATTACACAGATTGCATTCCTCTTCTGTAAAGAGATTTCAGTCTTAGCCTGAAGTATGAGATTGCATGTGTAATTGAGAAAAGTATTTTGGGGCTTGACAAGTGTTAAAGCCATGGCAGAGACTGGACTGTGACCTATCTGTAGCAGAAGATGTTTTGTATCTATCGTCATTGTCAATCTTGCTCTGGCATATTATGAACAAGAAGGGCTATAGCAAATAACATGCTTCCTAGCAATTCCTTGTGGCCCATGTAAAATAATGTTGGATTCCTACATCTGATGCAGCATATCAAATAATTCAGTGCTTGGTCTCATTTCTCAGAGCTGTTTGTAAGATTTTTAAAGCTCATTAGTATGTAGTCCGACCTCTGATGTGGTTTCGTGTGCTAGGTACGTTGTGCTGTACCTGTTCTGTTGGTGCTGTTCAGTTCCTTACCTTTTTGTGGTGTCCCTAAAGATCGGCTGGTGCTGATTAACATCACAGTACCGCTAACCCAACCACAAAAACAATGTCATTTCCTCACCCCGAGTAGCTCTTGCTCACACGAATTGTCCTGTTAGATTCACTAAATTCATCATGGGTGTGACCACCGAAGGCAGTTTGTGTTTAAGTGCAGGGAGAAGCTTTTTGAGATAGCCATTTAGAGGAGGGAAGAATAATTTTTTGGTCACAAAACAGTGGGAATTTAGGTAGGAATTCCATTTTGGATTTGGCTAAGATAGCAAACCTAACACTTCTGCTCTTAGGGAGAATTCTTGAGAGATCTGTAAAAACCACAAGTGGTCAGGACCTTGGTTTTACATCTCATTAATAACCAAGAGTGTGTATAACCATAAGTTATTAGCAGCTGACATAGGATTTTTCATGCTAAACACTTTTTAACCTGTTCCAAGTAAAATACACTACTGAAATAAAGAATTTTCTCCTAATTCCATAATGAAGCTGACAATACTCTTGCTGGTGTAAATCAGGTGTAACAACATAGACATTTGTGGCTTAAGATAATCAAAATGCTTAGATCCATTTTGTGTCTGGCAACTGCTTAACTATTAAGGAAAGGATTCTTAAATATAATTCCATCACAGATGCTCAAAAGCATAGAAAACTTTGAGCAAAGCTTGCAGGGCAGTAACTTCAGGCATAAAGACTGTGGACTGGAATGGTTGGGTATATGTTCCTGGACATGCATCTCTGACTAATTGCAGGTGGAAAGGATGCCGTCCTCTCACAAAATTGCAATCTTTTCATGCTTTCTTTCCATCCTGTCCCACTCTGAGAAATGCTTAGGTATGCCTGAGAACACTTTGAGATGCTTTTAGCTGTACAGACTTGCTTACAGGTAGTGTTGACTTTTTTTCTTTTATTCATCCAGACTCTCAAACTACTTTTGTCCGTTTCACTTTGGTTTTTAGCAGAGATGCAGACTGAATCCCAGAATCCTTGAATTTCAGGAAAGTTCAGATAGAGTTCAGAAATTTCTCAGGATCCAAACTCTGCTACTTGACTGTAGATTGCTGCTAGTAGTTTCTTCCATGCTGGCTGAATCTTGGCCAGAGACTGCATGTGTCTCTGGGCATTGCGTGCTGTTCTGGGAGTTAAGGCCAGAAAGAACCACAGGTTCTGCTTGTTTGCAGGAGTCAAAATTACAGCTCAACTTGCCTTTTATTGTGAGGGAAGTTGGGGAGAGTGTGGGCTAATTTCTCATCAGTGTCATAAACTGGTTCTGAAGTGATAGGTGCCATTGTATTTGGATTCCAAAGGAACGTTAAAAGACCTGATTGAAAGTTCATTAAAAATTGCTGGCAAGGCTCCTGTTGATTTTGGAGGTACTGTTTCAAGTGTCAAGGGGTAAGCCTGATTTCACTGTTGTTAACATGAGGATTCCTCCTGACTCCTGTAGGTTAGCTTTGCTCTGTAAGCAGCACCCCAGCAGGGACAAGTCCCCTTTGCTGGGATTCCAAGGCTGTTCTCAATCCTAACTGATACCTGAGTTGGCTGCAAGGTCCCTCTGGCTGCTGGAGGCTGCTGCTGCCAAGAAAAATAGAGGCTTGCATGCTTATTGCTGGGATTGCTCATGCATGCCATAGTAATTAAATAATAATACCACAATGATGGAACATTCATTTTAACTGTCAATCATCCTTGTGCTAGAGAAATTGGGGAGTGCCATGACTGGCTTGTAGAGGGATTTGTAATTTAAGCAAGCCACTGAAGAGGTATGGGGGTTTTTTTATTATTTTTTTTTAAACTTTGGGAGTTTTTCATTTATTTTTCTGGGATGTGCCATCTGGATTTCTTTTTTCTTCCTGACAAGATGTCTGCTCTAGCCTGTTTCTTCACAGCTGGAGCTCCAGAAAGGCTGAGGACATCTGTTTGTCTTCACAGTTAATGGTCAGAGTCTGCCCGTGATTGCTGGCTTCTGCTTCTAGCTGGCCTGTTTCCTCATTTTTTGCAGTGGAGGGGAGTTTATGCCTGTCTTGCAGCCTGGTGGAAACCAGGAATATTTGAATAGTCTCTTCCACATCTGCAGCAAATGCTGCATCCTAAGACTCTGGTCTTGTGTTCACTGTGTTCTGGAGACTGCACTTTGGCGTTCCTGCCACGTGAGCCGTCCCTCTTTGAAGGATGAACTGATTTTTATTTTCCTTTTCTCTGCAACCCAGCTGTTCTTTTGCTGGCTTTTGTTACAGCACTGAGGGAATGCTCGATCCTGCCTGAGTTGGGTGCTTCTATTAATAAGTTGCTTCCTGTGTTGTGAACTGCACTGCAGCTTTACCACAGACCTGTCAGTCCCAGTCACTGGGACAAAAAGACATTTGCTTCCTTTGGGCAAAGCACAGGTAGGCTTTTACCTGCTTTACATTTATGAGCTTTGTAAGCTTAAATGCTCATAGCCACAGTCCTCTGCAGTTGTGACCTCGCGCGTGGTGATGCTTCACCCATCTGTTTTCAGATTAAGTGGGATGGGAAAGAACTAGCTTCTCCCATCAGAAACCATTAAATCTCCACGAAACTCTATAAATATATTTATATTTCCTCTTTGTTGTAGAAACAAGCTGTGCCTCATGTGCTCTTCTGAGGACTTTTGCAAACTTTATGAACGTTTGCCTCTGCACTTGTTGTTTACATGATACGATAGATGCAGTGGTTTGCACCGAAGGACCTTCTCGGCCTGTCTTCGACTTCTTATGCTTCGCAAAAACCTGCAGTCAAGCAATCTGTGGGAAGGTGATAATGTTTTAGTGAGGTGACTAATCTCACAGTACCTGGGATTTCCTATGGTGCTCCATTTACATTAATTTCCAATGGAATTTTGGAAAGCTATTAAGTCCTGGGTGTGGTAACTAAAAAGGGCAAATAATAATTCAGCTAAAACAACCTACTAGAACCCCTTGACTAAACATGCACTTTCAATATGGTTATAAACATAAAAAGCCTGTTAAAGACTGATTTGGATACAGAAATAATGAACTGGATTGTTATGAATAGTTTGCCTTGCTCTTGTTTGCAATAACACACTAAATTTTAGCATCGGGGGAGTGTGCATAACCATAACTCTGGCTCTGATTAATTACAGTAGAATGAATGAACTGTATGGCAAAACGTCTCAGAATGTCCTTGCTTTGGGTTAGAGCACAGACACCAGCTACTCTGCAGCCATCTATCTGGACGGGAGGATAAGTGGACTGCCTGAATAGAGCAATTCAGTAGGAGTAGATCTTTCAGTGGGTTGTGTCTGAGCAGTAAATCACCTAAGATTGTTTGCTGAATTGAGAAGATAAAGTTGGCTTCACAGAGTTTGAGATGTATGTTTAACAAATATCCTTGCTCAGCTCTCAACACATCTGATTTCTGTGGAGCTGCTCGTATTCTGCCCGTTGTAAATCACTTGTTGACCCAAGCTGTTTGAAATAAATAGTTATGATCACATCAGCTCAGAAATGTATGGACAAGTGCCTTGTACTACACCCATGTGTCTGGATGCATGCCGGAGAGCGAGCTTTCCAGGCTCTGCATCAGCTTAGAAGCACTGACATTCCTTACAACCTCAAGCTGGAACTCCAGCAGACTTCTAAGATTTAATTTTGAAACAATTTATGCTGCATGGATTTTTCATAGCGGATCACACAGACTGGTCTTTTCCCCTCAAAATGGGCTTGCCCTGATATTTGTAGTGAAAATTTGCAATCTTCTGTCCAATTCCTCTTAGACAGTGATATGTATTGCAGTTAGTGGGACCTCAGCTCTAGTTGCATCCTGAAGGTGAATTGTTTTCTACATGCTTCTGCAGACTATTTGTTGAAAGGAAATCTATGCTTATAAGTGGTACTAGAAATATTATTAAAACTCAGTGTGGTTCTCTGAGAAGTGGTGAGTGCTTTAGGGAGCCACGTCAGACAGGTAATGAGCAAACGTAGATGTGTTTGCTAACTTGGCTGCATTGGAAGCGCCTTGCAAGGTCACTGTGACTGTTCAGGCCACTGAGGATAGAGCTATAGTGTCTGAGCTGTGGCAGAACTGTCTTAGAGCTGTCAGACTAGTAGGAGCTTAATCCCCCGGGGCAAACACTTCTAGATCTGAAAAGTGCACTGTTGGCTGACTTTGCTTCTGTGCTTTTTCCACGCCCATCTTGTTTTCTTCCTCCTGAATGGTGATAGATCAATATTGATTTACCTAAACTCGAAATGGTCTAGGAATCGTTTCAAATGTCATTCAACCCACTATGGCCTTGTACTGCTTTCCTGCTGGAATTCTTGATCTGTACCTGTTCTGTCTCACCAGGAGAAGAAAAAACAGGTTTCTTGAATGAATTCCAAAAATTTACAATAGGAATAGGGTGGGGGGTTGTGGTTTTTTTGTTTTGTTTTAAATATTTTAAGTGTTCATTGCAGTTTTTCCTCTCTGGCTTTTTCATTAATGGCTCTCAATACTTAAGCGTGGTTCATGAAACTTTGGGAGGGCTTGTGCTTTTATCCTCACTGTGATGGACATTTGGGAGGCCGATGTGTCAACAGATTGGAACCTCCGTAGTCAACAGTGAATTGCTCTTGTCAAGAGCTTGGCAGGGTGTTGGTAACAAAGGATTTCTCGTGCCTTTTTTTAATTTGAAGTTAGAAGTTATTCCCAGACTAGGATTAAAACAACAGTGTGGCTATTTGATTGCTTACTTCTGGTTGCCTCTGGGAGGTGAGTAATGGGAACCAGGGAGTCCAATAGGAAGTGGACCCAAATTTGTAAAGACAGATCCTCTCTTCTGTCCAGACTTTGTTTAGAAGGATCCAGAACTAGGCACTGTAATGTCAAAGCTTCTCTTGATAATTTCTCTATGGCTATGATAGACTTACAGAACACAGGAATGGAGAAGGTAGTTACATTTGCCAATTGACATCTTTTCAGTGATCAGTCATAGACTTTGTTTTTCATTGTGATTTTTTTTTTTTTTTTTCCCCCCTGTGTGCACATTTGTCACTCTACAGCCTGTGATTTGAAAATTATGGAGCATTTCAAGGTTTTCTGTACATTTTAATCTCCCTGTATGGCTTGATGGATCCCACTGATAAATGTCAGATGCCAGTGGTGAACAATCTCTGGCATCTGGGCAGGTTTTCTGTGGCACGTATTAGGACTGTCAGAGGGCTGAGAGTCTCAGCAGCTTGAGAAAGGTCTCTGAGGTACACAGGCTCCCAGCTCTTGGTTCTTACTGATTTCTTAAGCAAAGGGAGCTGGGAGGCCCTGCAGGTGGTAGCACATTTAGTTATGAGAAGGCATTTTGATGTTTTAGGGGCAGCATCTTCTGGTTTTTGGGACATTTCTGCTGGCAGACTTAGCTTGTAACTTATAAATAAAAAAATTCCCATTCTAATGGGACTCTTTGAAAGGCTGGTGTCTTTCATAGACTGTGTCAGAACTCAGATTGAGGTACTGTCCTGCATTTGCCATGCTCCTGTAAATGAAGACAAAAAGTGGCAATGTACTGGATCATCCAAACTGAATTGCTTGTTACAGAAGTGTAAAATCCAATTTTCTTCCACCTTCAATGTCCTCCCAAATGCAGTACTTTTGGATCAAGGGTGTGGTTTAGGCAGCAGACAACAGCCTGGTCTGGAAACTTTGCATTCTCTGAATCCATGTAGTAGCCAAAGAGTTACAGTGATCTCAATCTTTGTTCTTGTTTCTCTTTAGATCCTAGAATCTCCAGATCCTCGAATCACAGATCCACGGCGGACCTGGATCTCCTTTGTTCACCGCCCAGATGATGGCAATACCTCTAAAAGGAGATGCAAAGGGAAAGACAAGAAATTAGTAGGTTATTGCTAGATTGCCATCAGCTAATAAATGTGCACCGTGGCTTCCCTTCCTACTGCTGATATGCAAGGTGTTTTGTATGCTCCAGCTTTTGCCTTCCCACCCCAGAAAGTGCTGCATTTTCATTTGGTTGTGTTTAATTTCTCAAAGTATTTTGGAGAAGTTTGAGGCAGTAAGCACTATATGCTTTGTAAGATAAGGTATGTGAATTCCACTGTCAACATTCATTTTTGTTTAAACCAGCTGTTTCTTGGACTGAGCCTTTTTTTTTTTGTTTCTGCTCAGTAGAAATAAAATTAACGTTTTTTTCTTCCACTAGATAAAGTCCAGGTATCTCAAAGGATATATTAATCAAGATGTGGACAAGTCATTTATTTCAAATTAATGAGTTATTGATCATCTGCTGAGTGATGCTTGATCATGTATGCACTTTTTAATCTGCTGCTTAGACAGTCTTGAATGCTTTTAATGATTTTCTTTTATTTCTCAGTGAGCTAATAGGCAGGAGTGCTTCCATGCAGGTTTACTGCAGTTGGGTTGAGGAAACGGGAACTCCCTGGGAACAATATACATCAAAGTAGCATTGATAACACCGCTGTGTGTTCGTACTACTAGTTTAAAGCTCTAATGTATGTGTGGATAACTTTTACAGGTGTTTGAATAAACTGTTTCATTTTTTTCTGAGCGCTTTACGGTCACACCAGACATTCATGCAAGTGATCGTTATGTCTAAGCAATATATATTAATAGTGTAAACAGTGGCTAGGTGGCTATTCTAATCATCAAATAGGCAGAATGAGAAGTTTAGAAGCTCGTATGTTACTTTGGCGATACGAGAAGATACAGAAGTGGCAAACTTAGTATTGTGCCTGTTGTGCTTCACACAGTATGTATATACTTGAAGAACCAGTTAGTGTTTACCTGAGCAAAGCTTATCCTCCCACATAAAGGTGTGAGTAGATTCCAAGTGCTGGAATTCACAGCTGGATGGGGAGTCGGTTTAAGATTTACTGCATCAGGCCTGTAGTTGAACTGCTAGTGGAGGGGACTCCTCATGTGGCTGAGCCCTGTAGAGCTGGCTCATGGCTGAGACAATTTTTGGTCTGTCAGTGCAATTGCCTGGTCCTAATTCACATGTTTTTCTTTGGTTACTTCCATAGCGTGGCCTAGTTGGGCCCCCAGGACCTCCTGGCCCCCAGGGACCTCCAGGAGCACCTGGTGCTGAAGTCACCCGGGAAGTCCTTCTGCAGGAGTTTAAGGAGATATTAAAAGGTAAAGACTGTAAGAGCTTTGTGCTTTTGTGATCTGCTTCTTTTGGTAAGCACCATGGCAGATAAAGAACTGGCTTTGCAAACATTTACCTTAAAGCGTTCCCCTATCTGGCAATCAAAAACTTGAAAAAAAAAAAAATGTTTCCCCAGTGCTGCTTAGTTTGAGTTGATGAGTTGAGTGCAGAAGTCTAATTGCATAACTAATGGCTTCATAGACCAGCCTCTTAAACTAAGCCTTTATTTTCCTATACTTTTTCTTTTCTCCTCAGAAGCCGTTGAGCGTCGAGCATCCCTGGCTATTTCAGCCCATCCTAGCCAGCTGCCTCCACTCCTGCTCTCCTTGGAGGAAGTTTCACCCCACAGACGTGTAGAGGAGGCATTCCATTGCAAGCTAAAAGGACAAGTCATTGTAGATAAGAAGACTCTGGTAGAACTTCAGAACTTCCAGTCGGTGAGAAGGGATTACAGACTGAACCTGTGCAACTCCACAACAGCCATTGTGTGTAGATCAGCTGTAGTTCCCCTAGTCTGCAAAGCTGCTAGGTGGCTCTGTAGATAAAGATGTTTCCTGAAAGGGCAGACTAATCCCAGAAGCTTGTCTCAGGCATAGATGCTCTGAATATAGCACTACCTTTTTTGTGATTGACAGAAGTAGGGTCTCACATGGTGATTTCAGCACTGAAGTTCAACTGCAGTATGACGGACGTTTAGCTTTGAATCCTCTCCTTCCTGACAAACCCAAGAGGCAGACTTTCCTCCTCTCTTGCAGCCCAGCTGAATCTCATTACAGTTCTTACTGAAGTTCTAACAGGTCTGTGCAAGAGAGGGCTGTCTCACAGGTCCAAACAACAGTCAGACTTTTTATTTCAGTTAATGATGGAGAAAGACTTACCCATGTTTGGCATTAGTCTGAAGGATCTGTTCTTTTTTTCAGTGCACACCCTGTTTAATTCCAGAGTAACGTTCAGATGTAGAAAAATGTCAGAGGCAGACAGGAGCCATTGGTTATAGGTTTGTGAGCCCAGATGAGAGCCATCATTTTGTTAGATGGGCCAGTCATGATGCTCAAATTCTTGACATAATGTTTTATGGAAGACTAATAAATGTTACCTATATAATTTCATTATAGTCATGTTATAATGGTAAACACACCACTGTGTCAACAGTCTGATGCTGTAGGTCATTATTAGCATGGTTACGAGCAAGCTGTTGAATTTGATATTAAAGCTTCTACTGACCACTTCTGAACCAGTTGCAAATAGGATCTGAATTTGAGGTATAAATGTTAGGCAAAGTAATAGCTAAAAACAAATAGTTACTTTCTAACTCAGGAGACTTTTTTAGACTTTGGAGTCACAAGGACTGTGTAACAGCAGAAGGCCTTCAGATACATGGTTGCTTTTGTGATGTGACAAGAAGAGTTTGAAGAGTATGAACAGGGAATATGACTTTCCATCAGCAGGGTTTGCTAACACTGTCCATACAGTAAGGTGCTGAGCTTTCTTCCCAGCTGCACTGAGTCCCATTTCTAAAGAATCCTGTCCAGCAAATCCTTTCCTATGGGGTAGTTTTGCTGCCAGGACTTCTCACAGCTGCAGGACTAGCGGCAGTGGTTATGTTTTAAATAGGGTGCTTTCCTGGATCTTTCCCAAATACACTTGTGGAAGCCTGGTTTGACAGCACTGTGGGTGCTGGCACAGAGGCAAGATTGTACTTGAAGTGTGGGCAGGGCTAGAGAGATGTGCTGCCTCATTAATTAGGAGGGAAAATGTGAATAAAGACATCTCAGCAATCAGTGCGTAGGCTGATGCTTCCCATGCTTTGTTATCATATGCCTAGCTTCTTTCTAATTGCTTCTGGCCCTGAAGCTGATGTGGGAGGGCTGGCAGGCCTCTGGATGCCAGCCTTTCATTTCAGCTTTGGACAAGAAGTATCTGGTTTTAGCTTGTGCTCTGATATAGGGGAATTTATCAGGGAGGGAGACAGTGGATGCTCTTGCAAAGATGAAAACTTTGTCTTTGAAAATTGAAGGGGAAGAGTGAGTGAAAATTCCCCTCTCCATTCTGTCGGTTTAATAGTGTGAAGAAGCCAACGGTTTGGTACTTTTCAGTGAGATGATAGGAATTGACTCTAATTCCTGGATTTGGACCTTACCCAAAGTATTTTGAGATAGTGGAAAGAACCTGTGCTGAGAAACAGCTTATTACTTCTATACTCTGTCATTTGAGTATGGTGTCTAAGTCACTCTGACCTTGAGTATTGAGAGAGCTTAATGGCTTTCTCATCCTTCCATACTAAATTTCCTCCAAGAACGTTCCCTCCCTCTCTCTTCCTCTCGGTCTCACAGTTTCCTTGGTGTCTTCAATGAAACATGCGATACTCCTTTCCACACACCTCTTTCTCCTGATTCTCACGCTTTGAGGTTTCTAATGATTGCCTCTTGCAGAAGCTTTCAGAAAGGTACTTTACACAGCAAGAATTGAAGTAACTTCTGCCTCTGACAGGCCATGGAAGTGGGATTTATCTGGGGCCCAGGAACATCACTGGAATCGGATCACTCAAGGTTAAGGTGGCCCATGTGCTTTTCATGGTAAAAGATCCCAGGAGTCCTGATGTCTCTAGTGCCTTGAGGTCAAGCTAAATGTCTACCTTTGGCAGTTGAATTTTTTTTTTGCTGCTTCAGGAGATTGGTGCAGCCCCTGTGAGTTGTGGTTGCTGTGCAGGCCAGGTTATCCTTTTCTTTAATAACAGATAAGTCAATGCATTGCTTTCCACAGTGTTTATCACTGAAAAGCTAAACTGGCAGTTCACCTTTCAATTCTCTGTGTGTGGTTCCTATTTTCCACCTGGAAGTAAACTATGGAGTGTATGAGGGAGATGTGGGGATAGGAGATGAACTGAGGAAGAGAAGCTGACCTTGGTTTGTGCAGAACGGCTGGACACTAACTTGTTTCTTTGCTTTTAGTCTGCTCAGTGAAATAACTGTGTGCAAGCAGTTAGTGTCCCAGATAAATCCCTGCAGTGTTCGAAGCAGCTAGGTGAGTATGGTGCTGTGAGGCAGCAAATGCAGCAGGGAGCTCTCATTGGTATGGGGTTTAATGGAATATTTTGCCCAGAGAACCTCTCCCTGCATTGTCTATTTCTATGAGCAAAAGAATAACAAAGCCATAGAGGGCATGAAGAAACAGGAATGTTTTATCAGTGATAATTTACTGGTGCCTAAAATTGCCTTCCATGCTCAGCCAGTGGTTTTGGAATTATGTTGCTGATTCTGCTAATAGCTGTAACAAGAAAGGAATGAACTAACTATGCAGTACAGTTTTGCACATACAGGGCTTGGATCTGCGCTTTCAGTGAGGTAAATCAAAAATAGCATTACCAAAAATGATGGTGGTGTGGTAGCATAAGAACGGAATCAATCTCCTTCCATAGCCTCTGTTGTTAGGTTAGCTGTCACATTGTCCATGTGTGTATACATAAAGAAAATAGAGCTCCTTTTGTGTGTATATATGTGCACATAGGCACACATCAGTGCACATTGATAAATATCAAGACTTAGAAATTGTTGTATGAAATGTAGTTGTTCTGCAGTTCATTATTACTGTTCTCGCATTATACATATGTAATCTTATAAGAAATGCCACTGCTGTAGCTCACAGATGTATTTTCACCACCATATGCATATGTGAAACATTTCTAGTAAAGTTCTGTGAAAGTTAAGACTACAGCTAGGGCTTAGTAGATAAGGACTGGGAATTTGTCTTTTGTGAGCCTTGCCTCAGATTTGCTGAATAAAGGCAGGTTAGTCATTTCACTCCTCCTACCGTGCAGTAACTCTACACAAATACTGTCAGACCCAAATATTTACAGCCTTGCTTCCTTTCAAAGAGAAAGCTAAATAAATTATTCCTACCCTGCACTGTGAAAGCTGGCAATTTCTGGCTGTGATGAACCAGAATGGGGAGGTAATTAACTTCCTCTGGTACTTGAACAAAAATGTTTTGCTACATTTGTTCTTAGTGCAATAGCACCTGTGGCACCACTGCTCCAAATTTGTTCACTACGTCTCAAGGCCCCTTTCATCATCTAGCATTGGAAAGCATACTCAAATGCTGGGTTGTTGAGATCACTCAATTATGCATTTGTTTGGGGGATATAGCAGTGTGCGTGCCTTTACAGAGTCAGGTTTTACAGTCAGATTTGGACAGCTCTTCTGTCCCATTAGATGAGTGTGGGGCAAATCTCTCAGGACAGCATTCATGGGAATGCGTTCACATTGCGCAGAATGCCCTTGTGGTGGAAGCAGAGTCTGACTAGTGTGCTTTCTTGGCCCATTGAAGCCAATCCTGTTTCTCCCCAGCTCTAGCCAAATTCATGTGAGGCAGGCCAAAACAAACAATAAACATTTCTCGCAGAGTTTATTTTAGTCTGAGTCAGATAATCTGCTGCGAGTTTGACTTAAGACTGCTTCCTTGCCATGAAGAGAAGCTGCATGTTGTTTTACTAGGTTTTTGCCCATTCTGTAGAATCTAAAGCTAGAACAAAATGAAACTAAGCATGGAATCTGTAAGAATCCAAGCAGTTGTTCTTTAACAATATCAACGCCATCTGACTTCGACCTAAAGGTAGAAAACCTCTGGAGACCTATCTGACTGTTTCCTCTGTGCTTGTATCGCAAAAACAGTGTATAAGGTTCCAGGTTTTTAAGCCTGGGGACACTGCTTGGCCCCATCTAGGAAGTCTTTGGGAGTAGTAGGGATCTCTTGACTCACATAAAGCGAGATCTTGTGTATTGGAACATCAGTGGAGGCTAGAGGTCACGAGGACCAGCAGAGAACAGGAATGCAGTAAGCGCAGTCATGATGAGTTAGTAGAGTTCAGCAGTGAGCAAAAAGGGCATCTTCAGGCCTCATATGATTATTTTGCCTTTTGTGGGCATTGAATGCTGAGAGAGAAACCTTCTGGAAGGTGTGTTCTGGGGGATAAGGCAGTAGCCTTGCAAATTTTAATTGTTGAATCTTCTTGTTCAGGGTCTGTTTTTCTTACCTTCCAGCCTCTGGCCAAAGGAGCTTTTCTCCGCGGGACAGGATTAAATCTGGCAACAGGACGTTTCACAGCACCTGTGTCTGGCATCTACCAGTTTTCAGCCAATGTCCACATTGGTGAGTGTTGTCCGCAGAAACCTTTTCTGTACTGCTTCAGACGTGCAGGAAGGAGTCCTGGAGAACTCTCTGGGTCCTGTTTGATTTGAAGCATGCGCAATGGCAGCCTTTTGCAGTGACCTCTCCCTTGGGTACCGTGACCCAAACCCATGTCCTGCCGTTCCTCAGGAGCAGGCAGCTCCAGCATGGGTCCCCCACAGGGTCACCAGCCGTGCCAGCAAACCTGCTCCAGCCTGGGCTTCCCACAGGGTCACAGCCTCCTTCGGGCACCCCCTGTTCCAGTGTGGGGTCCTCCCTGGGCTGCAGGTGGAGATCTGCTCCCCTGTGGGCCCCCCTGGGCTGCAGAGGGACAGCCTGCCCTACCATGGGCTGCAGGGGAATCTGCTCTGGCACCCGGAGCACCTCCTCCTCTCCGTCTGCACTGGCCTCGGTGTCTGCAGGGCTGCTCCTCTCACATATTCTCACTTCTCTCTCTGGCTGCAATTGCACAGGGTTTTCCCCCCCCCCCCTTCTTAATACATTATCTAGAGGCGCTACCACCGTTGCTGATGGGCTCAGCCTTGGCCAGCAGCAGGTCCATCTTGGAGCCAGCTGGCGTTGGCTCTGTCGGACATGGGGGAAGCTTCTAGCATCTTCTCACAGAAGCCACCCCTGCAGCCTCCCTGCTACCAAAACCTTGCCACGCAAACCCAGTACAGAAGTCACAAGGTTACTGGTGTCCCTGTTATGCCAAACGCCAGCAATTGGTGATCTCCTATGTTGTGAAAGTGCTTATATTTCTTCCACTGCTTTCCCCAGACCACAGTGAGTTGAAGAGTAAAGTCCAACTCCGAGCCAGAGATAATGTCCGAGTGTTGATCTGCATTGAATCTCTGTGCCACCGATACACGTGAGTTACTGCAATGCTGTCTTGGCAATTATTTTTCTCATATGAGCCAATGTTTTAACGAACTGTGGAAATCAGGTTCACCAACAGTGAATTTTGTATGATAATTGCTTGTAGAACTTTTCCAAAGAGTGATTCCATCTGGCCCTTAGATTTTATGTGGGTTTTTTTTATTCTGATTTTTAACCTTTCAGTGCTAATTACTCTAAATAGCTAAATATTGTGCACATTGAGAGAATTGTAAATAAAGTCAGCTGAAACTGGGTGTAGGTAAAGGTGCTGAATGCTCAGCTATCATAAACACAGAGTGAAACACTTTAATTTCATGCCAGAGGTGGTTAGCTCAATTTTTATAATTTCAGCTGGGTCCTGAATGGATCACAGCATCTCACTCGTGTTGCCATGGAAGCTTTGGAGTGATGAGGAGAATGAATAGGTGGGAAATAGAGGTGAATGGGTCCTCAGGCAGAAAGTTGCAGGGCTTGTATAGAGGTATATGATACCTTCTCACAGCCGTCAGCTGCCTTGTGGAGCTTGCTCAGATAACCATCCTTATTTTTCCTCTGCTGACATCCATTAGCAAAACTCTGGTAAAGAAATGCTTTTGTTAGGCCATGCCACCCTTGGCTATTGCTCTTTATGCAGTGGGACATGGCATCAGCATGCTGTTGGCTGCTCTTGTTTGCTGTGCTTCTGTCATCCTTTCAGTTGCAACATACAGGTGCCCTGTGTCTCAGAGAAGGCCTGCTTGCTCAGGAGGAGTTTGACAAGCTTGGCTTGGAGGAAGGGGCTGGGGAGCCCCTGGGCTGGGCTGAATTGCACCCAGCAGAGGGCAATGCTGCTTGCACAGAATGGCCACCACCTTTACTTGTGGCTGGGTCCTTGTCACAGGAGGAAAAATGCCTGTACAGGGCTGTACAGATTTGCTCTGCCCTGCTTGCAGCTGTAGCAACACCCTTTCAATAGCACCACTGAAATATATCCATAAAACGCCTCCATGGGTGCAACTTAAAACCCACAAACCCGTAAGTTTGCTGCTGGACTGGCTGCTTCAGCCCTTGCCTTCCCTGCTGCATGGGTGCTGCAAATAGGACTGAACTCTCCACAGGCATTTCAATTTAGAGGCTTTATGGGCGGGTGAATTTGACATGGAGCTTCATATAATAAATAAACCTTTCTTAGGTTTCATTGGCCAGTAGAAAAGACTTGATTGGTATTGGAGTACCCGTTACTAACTAGGTAAGAGGGAGCTGTGCACCCACTGACCTGATGGGAAGTCAAGGAGCTTGCTGACTGGAGCATCTGGCATGTCCTCAGTGTTGTAGATTGTTTTATAACAGTCTTTGCTGTGATTGCAGCACTGAAAATGCGGCAGTGACAGACTGGCTGCAGTCACAACGTGAGCAGAAGAAGAAGAAGGGTGTAACTTCTTGCCCCTTGAAGGGACGCCTTGTATTCTGCTAAGCTGCAGAACTTAGGGGATGTTTAATTTCTGGCACTTGTGAGAATTCCTTTAGATCATGCTAAGAATGAACCTCAGCCTGATCTTGAAATCTGGGATGCGTGTTGACAGTGCGTGATCCTGGGACAGCCCAGGCCTTTCATCACAGGGGTGGAACAAGTACGAGTAGGGCAGAATGTTACTGTCCTTCTTATGAGTAGCTCTCACAAATTGTCTTTGCACAGTGCAGATCCCTATTCCTGTCCTTTTACTCTGCATGGCAACATCCAGTCAGATTCAAATAATCAGGTTTTTTTCTTTCTTCAGCATTGGTGCTTTTTTTTCTTTTCACCTACAACAATCTCCTCTTGTCTTAACAATTTCATCAAGAGCAGGACTTATGCCCCTAGCCCTTGGATTCCCCATGAACAAAGACTGCGAGTTCCACAGAATCTTTTCCTACATGCTTTTGGGATGTGGAAAGATATTTCCCATTGGGATGTGGAAAGATATTGCCAGTTGGTGGTGTTGACCTGATCGTATTTCAATAAAGATTTGAGTGAATGAGTGGGTGAGATTTTTGAAGCCACCTAAGAAGATTTAAAAGTGAAATTGATCCTGCAGATCTCCAGGAGTGAAAAGCTGTTCTCCCATCCTGATCTCTACTCTACATTGTCTTCAGTTACAGAGTCATACAGAAAATCTAAATTCCATTTAAACCATTTTGCAAAATAAATGAAAGTAACAGTGGTGAGTTTTTCTTCCTAATGATCCCCCAAGCTCCCAACTGATTTCATTAAGGCATCTGAGAGAGAACAAAGTGTTTTTCTTCTGGACAGCTCACTTCTGTCTCCAAGGACAGTGTTTGTCTATCTCTTTCTCTCCTTTGCTGTCCATTCAGTCAATCGTACAGTAATATTACTACGAATGGATGTCATTTCTCTGATTGCTTTCAACATAGCTTTAGTCTTGCTTCCTTGTTCTGGTAAATGCAAGCACAAGAGCTATCTGAATAGGAAGCTTCCCTGTGGGCCATGGAAGCTACTGTGCCTTCTTCGTTGCAGGTCTTTTTAGCTGAAAGCTCCTGGAAAATTGTTCTGGTTCTAGCTGGGGTGTGTGAACAACCTTTTTGTCAGATACAGCCCAGGCAGGTTTATTGGGATGTTTTGAGATTAACTTGCCATCTGAAGAATTTATAGCTACGTTCTCCAAAGAACAGTAACAGTAAAAACTCATTTTTCTTAGACAGAACTGACCCAGATGTTAATTGTTTAGATAAAGCTCTCTGATGTCTGACTCGAAGTTTTCATCAGTTGTCCAGGGTCACAATTTATGACTGGTTGTCCTGCGAGGCTGCTCTGAGTTGAGCTGGACAGCAGTGGGAGTAAAGCAGAACCAGCACTGGCTCTCTGAGACATCTCTCTCTCAAGTGGTGGGTGAGAGTATGACTGGTCTGTGGCATGGAAGGAAGATGGGTGGAGGGATGGGAACCTGTCTGGACAGACATTCTGCTGGCACAGGCTGAGCCACTACCCATGCTTGTGGAATTTCCTGGGGATGTCAGCGTACGCAGTCATTCATTTGAGGGAGCTGAAAGAGCCCTGAGGGCTTTCGGCTGAGAGAGATGGAAACTCAGAGGAAAGGAGACAGTTGGAGTAGAAGAGATTAATGGTGGGAAGTTCCCACCCAAGTTAGGCTTTTGGCAGGATATGACACACAAGACTGAGCTCTTCAATCAAGGTGGTGCCAAGTGGCTTGCTCTCTCTGGGCCAAATTGCCCCTACCTTTTATGCATATTATTTCCTTGCAAGGGGGCTGGAAGCAGCACGTTTGCACTTGCTAGGTTTCATCACCACCACTTCATGGAAAAAAAGGGAGGAAAGGGGTTGGTTTTCTTGGGAAAACAGCTAGATCTGCTACCACTGGCTAGGCAGATTACAGAACCAGCCAGGCATGGAGCTCTGTGCTTTCGTGTTGCTTTGGAACTCAGCTTACATGGGTTGTTCGATTGTTGATGTCTCAGGCACCTCCTTCCACCCTGAATCCTCTACAAAGGAGCTGAGTTAGAGTTCTGTAAACAGAGGGTGCTACAGAGAGCAGCTGTCCTACATCTTGCTACTGCAAGGAATATGATGGCTATGAGAACATGATACTAGAAATGGACAGGGCTTGAGGGGTGATCTGGAGCTCTCCCTTGAATTTTAACTGAAGCACAATTTTTATTTTTTTTTTGGTTGTATGTGACCCCTGATGTGAATGTTTTCCCAAAGCAGCTTGCAGCTGCAGAAGATGTTCTTGCATAGGCTGACTACATACATTGCTAAGGTGAAACAGGCCTTTCATACCTTGAAAATGAATGAACTGTTACTGGCAGAATGCATACCTCTTTGCAGAGTAACGAGAGTAAAAACTATTGCGGTGATCAACAAACTAGGACAACTAATATGTAGATAAACCTAGAGGGCATGTTTAGCCCTTGTTCAACAGTGAGGGATAGAGATCACAGGACCTTGAGAAAGGCCTCTGTGAGGGAAGGTGGCTCCCAGTTTCTGCCTCCAGCTGAGGTTTGCGTTCACAGTCCTGTATGCTCTGTAGGTCTCCCATTAGGTGCTACAGTGAGGACAAGGACTGTTCTCTTTTCAAGGCAGCTGATTACAGCTAGAATCAAGTCAACAGGCCACCTATGTACTGCAGATGGGCACTAGAACCACCAGGCCCTATTTCTAGGGAGGTCATGACACTATTGTCATTCCACATAAAACTGTTGTGACTGCCTTAGGTGTTTAACCCGTTCATTTTTCTTTTGCTACTGTTCAGGTCTTTGGAAGTCATTGCTGGTCTGGAAAGTAACAGCAAAATCTTCACTATCTATGTGCATGGCTTGCTGCAGCTGCAGGTAAGCCCATGCAGACTGGGAGTCGCTGTGCTAGTTTGCTTGGCAGGCTGTGGAGTTATTTACTGGCAAGGCTGAATTCTCACCAGGAGGTGGGGAAGTTTTTATTAACCTTCTTTCTAAGGTGAATGAAGTTAAATGCTTTACCTGGGGTAACCAGGGTGAATCTGTGGCAGGAACAAAAGCCAGACTTGTGTTGCACGTTCTGATCTTAAGCCACAGAAGTAACCTCCCCTCTAAGAAATGACAGTAAATATTTTTCTTTCTCAAATCTCCCCTTGCATTGTCAAGATGGCAGTTGTATTTCCCATTGCATAGAAGGGAATCTGAAGCACAGATGGCCACTTGACTAATCACCCAAAAAGATGCTAGTGCAGCAAGGGTCTAGTTAAGTAATAAACCTATAACACAGTTTCACTACAGAAAATTTCTTCCACCGAGTCAAAGCTGTAGTGCTGCAGTAAAAATGTTTGGTCAGATCCTGTTCCTAGGAGCCACAGAAAAGGGCAGCAGGTTCCTGTGCTTAGCTCATGGTAGCGAAAAGCTTTTTCTTTTCCTCCTTTTATGCTGGGATGAAGTGTCAGCTATTTTCCTTTCCCTCTTGTTCTCTCTGCAGGCTGGCCAGTACACCTCCATATTTGTGGACAACAGCGCTGGAGCTCCCATCACCATTCAGAATGGATCAGATTTTATGGGCATGTTAATGGGCGCGTAACATCGTCTGCAGCAGTGTAGCAGGGAAGGATATGAATTAGAGCCTTGCGGTGTATATTTGACTGAAGAAGCCTTTACTTTGACTCTCAGAGACTGCTTCCTGTAACTGTTGGCATCTTTTTAAACAAGCAAAGAGCCTTTCCTTTCACAGATCCTTCAGCTTGCTTTCAGAGGCTACTGCTTTTCGAGGTCCACACCAGTTCATTCATCATAAAAAATATACTTTTATAATTCAGAAACAAACTCTGTAATATTTAATTTGTGCTTCACCAGATGCTCACTGAACAATACACTGAGATTTGAATTTGTTACATTATAACTTTATTTCACAATAGCACTTGTAAACAGCGTGTCTTTTGGGATTGATTGGGGTGTGTTTGAGTCTGTAAATGAAGGATTGAGAGGGGAAGTAAAATAGTGACTGCGTTCTTTGTGTTGTGGAGGAAGGAGACAAGGATTTGCCAGCAAAACTGCTTTTTTCATACAATTGTAAATGGTATCGGCCCTCTCTCGTGTTCAGAATTGGGTATGTTTGACAAGAAGGATGTTGAATTCTCAGGCAATGCCTGCTTCACTGATGGGAATCCAAGGTCTGAACTCATTAATTGTGGTTCTTTATATCTAAGTATTTCCCTGATCTTACTGATGAAGCTGAATACCTCGCTGCCTGCACAGTTTTGTTATTACGAAAAGGTAAAGCCAATGGCACCAGTTCTAGCATGAACTCCCTTACTTGTGTTCTTATGTTTTAGTAAGATATACATGTGGTTTTGGACTGCGTCACATAAACCGCATCCTCTCAGGTGCCATATAATCATTTGTAAATGTGTCCAATGCATTACACTGGTTGTCAAAAGCCTGGCAAAGACAGTGAGGGTAGCAGCCTCGCATCAGATGTGTCACCTGCTTGGGGCTTGTTGGACTGCAGTGAAATAATGAAAGAAAACATGGGGCAAGGCTTACTTCCATCAGGTCATAAGGAGTCTATCTGAGCCCTACTTAGAGGTTGAAAGTGCTGTCAAAGACCGTCCAAAAGACTGTCCAGTGAATGTTTTCTGGATTTCTACTAATCTGCTTGCAGATGTAAGCACGTGAGACTGAGCCCCCAAAGCAGCTTTGCGTATAGCTCCAGGCTATAAACTCATTTTTAACAAAGTGAAAGGGTGTAGACGTTTTGTGGGATTAAGGTGTTACCCAAGATGTGGTAACATCCTTGTGATTAAAAAAACCCCACTCGTTTAAGGTACCTCTGTAGCTTTCCCTTTCAACAGACACCTGACCCTGTTACTGATTCAGCTTTGCTAAGGAAATGGGTGTGTGACAGTGTCGTAAATAGAAGGTAGCAAGGCCCCAAATCGGGTCCAGCCTCTTGTTCTGCAGTGTGTGCAGTGAATGGAAGATATCCCTTGCGTAGCGCTGCAATTTTTGATCAACTACAGCGTCATCATGTGATGAAAACAAAGATTGCTGGGGACAGCAGAAGGCATGAAGAAAATGTCATCCGTTGCTGGGTCTGTTGTTCAGGCTGATCAATAGGTGATGCTTCTGCAAGCCGCAGTAACGCTGCTGCTGAGGCTGCTGGTGTGCAAAGATGCCTTATTTCAAGAGCTGTGGAAAAATCTGCTGTAAAACAGGCTTGGGTGAAACTGTTTTTTTTTTCATCTCCATTACAAATGCCTTGAGACAG